TGCATGTGGCATGGAAGGACAGAGGGCGGGTAAAGGTCTCTTGTACACCCCTCACACTGCGCTGACATTGTTCGAGTCATCGGTCCGTCCATCTTCAGCGCAGCGGAGGAGGAGATCCCGAACGTCCCAACAAACTTCTTCCCCGTGTGACTGTTTGCAGCCGTCAGAGGAGGAACAGGGCCTGGGACACTCAGCCCAGTTAGAGAACTAGGAGCAGCAAGGTTCTTGGACTGTCTCTAGCCAATGGCTCCTGACTGATCGGTGTGTGTGTAGATTCCCTTCCCTCAGCACTGTTCAAGAGAAAGGAGCCCCTCCTCGTCGCTAGAGCAGACGGCAGGAAGAGTTCGCGCGATGGGAAGTCTGAATCGCACAGAGAAACGAGAATGGTGAGAGATGTGAATGCCTACGTGATAATGAGGTTATGGGTGGGAGTGGGTTTGGGGCAGCTGCAGGGACAGGCAGAGCCCAGGCAGCGGAAGAGGGGCAGGCGGCAGGAAGTAGGGAACTAACCTGTGCCCGCCCGCAGGTGAGACTCCAGGGGCAGCCGCTCCGTTACTCCCAGGAGCCCACTAGCTGGTGTCGGCATGCGCCTGACATGGAGCACAGGCAGGGCGGCCCTGGATGATCCCACAGGGGCTACGTTGGGAGTGCCGTGCTCAGGCCACCTGGATCCCCGTCAAGGCAGCCCGGACCTGAGCCAGGCCACATTTACATGCAATCCATTTTCATTCTGTCGTTTTTGTTTATTTATTTATTTATTTTTTTGAGGGAACAGTCTTCACTTTGTTGCCGAGCTAGATTGCCATGGGTCGCCTCGCTCACGCAACCTCAAACTCCTGGTTAGCTGATTCTCTGGCCTCGCTGACTCCGAGATAGCTGTCTACTAGCCATGCGCCTCCAAATGCGCGCTGATTTTATCTACATTATTTAGTTGGCCATAACTTTCTTTCATCTTGTAGTGCTTTAGTTAGGCGTCTTGTCCTATGCAGCTCTAGCTTTCAGGCTGTTTGAATCATGTGCCCTTTCGAGACTCGGTACCTCCGCTCGCCCTCTCAGTGGTGCTAGTTCCATTGTATGTCCAGGCGTGAGCCACCAACGCTGTTTCCTATGGTCTGTGTTTTTAGAAAGTTAGTTGGTGATGTTAACCATCACCCAGGGCTTGGTGGCCTATTTTTTTTTCCTTTTGGTGGTGCCATTTCAGAGCAGATTCAATAAATAAGAAAGTTCCCTCTACGTCCTGTGTGGCAGTCCAGGTATGACTCAGGTGTGGCGTTTCCTAGACCCGCGGGTACTTACTTGTACTGAAGCTGCCGTGGTAGGTGGCTCTGACCTGCGACCTCAGGTAGCAGACCACCACCACGTGGTACGTCTGCCCCGCGAGCAGGCCCCCGACGACGTGGCCGGTCACCGTGAGGTTCTGCCTCAGGACCAGGGACTGATCGTGGGCGGAGGTGACTGTGAGGTCATAGAAGTAAGAACTCGGGGGCTCGGGCCTGTCCCAGTGGATCTTGGCGCTGTCCTCGGTGATCTCGGACACCTGCACTTCTCGCGACGCCTTCGCTGGAAGACAGACCAAAGCAGAGGGTGCGGCTGAAACACAAACTCCTGCACACCTGCAGCGCGCGGGCCAGCGGGCCCAGCTGAAGGGGGTGTGTTGACAGACAGTGGATAAGAAACTCAGGGGAGGCAGGGAGCTGACTTCTTGTTCCAGCTCCCAAGGAAACATTGGTTTTGTCATCTAACCGCATACGTGAAATGTGAAGCTTGCAGTAATTAAAAATCTCTGTGTTTGTATCAAGGTACACGTGGCTGTCTTTTGTTTTTCTATTAAAACTGCCTACTGTTCAGAAGATACATTTGAAAATGCCAGGCCCGGCATGCTAATCGCAAGTGGTGGTCAATGCAAAGTGAGCCCCCGTCATTTAAAATATATTAAGTCGTGAAATTTTAGGGCATGACGTGAATTTATTTTAAAGGAGTCTCTGTTTTCTCTCTGTTCGTAAAACGAAGATAATTCCCATCTTTTCGTGAGCCTTCCTGTGCAGCTAGTGACCCTCTAGAGCAGGGGTCCTCAAACTGTTTAAACTGGGGGCACTGATTCGACTTTAGACTTTTAACTGGTGGCCTGTTCACTGTCCCTCGCCGTTGAGGCCGGACTGTGTTATAAAAAAATAAAGTGACTGTTGACCATAATCTATGCACATGGTGGTAGTTCTGTTTCTTATGAGTAAGAAGACAACGGCAAAACACGCCGCACGTGGCCGGCGGGCGTAGTTTGGACGGCTCTGCTCAGAGTTTCTACACCTCTCCGAGGTGATGCGGATGAATATAACACGCTCTGCCCCTAGTCTCGTCTAGACTCGTTTCCATGCGGCTGACCAGTCTTATGCTGGAAGTAGTGAGCGTGTGGTTTCAGCTCTTTTGGGGGCTGGCATGCAGGCTCTCTGCAGCTGGCTGACTTGCCCCGATGCTGCCGTGTATCATTAATGGGGCAGCATTACTGGGCTCTCTCTGCAAGTTGGCTGAGCTTATGTCCTACACGCCATGCTGAACATCGTGCTACTGTGAGGTCCTCTCTCTGCAGGCTGGCTTGTAGCCCTCCCTCACTGCTGCCTTGGCAGTGAGCTCTCTGCCAGTTGTCTGAGCTTGCCTCTGTGCCTCGCAGCTCGCCGCGTCCTCTGCAGTTGGCTGGCTGCCCCCCCTTGTCTGCGTGCTCGCGACAGCTGAGGGCTTCCTCTCTGAGTGCGTGTGTCCCAGCAGGACAAAGCCTGCCTTACATAGGTGCTCTGCAATCTCCCCCAGTCAAATACTACTTAGGAGGAGGTCTGGGAGACAGCAGCATAAAACACCCTCTTGCCCGCGCTGACAGACAGCGGTACTTCTTCTTGGTTCTCTAATCCTCGAATAGCTGGCGATGCTAAACCTGCTGCGACATAGGGCCTCTTCCCTTTAGATTTAGACAACCCGAGTTGCATTGGGGTTTGTTGGAATCACGAGGGGCTGTGCCCACTGCATGCCAGAGAATTGGAGGCCTCCACCACCCAAGGCAGGCTGGGTGTTGGATGTCTGTGGAGTGAAGAGGAGCAAAGCACGGCCGAGACTCGTATGCCAGCTGCATTGTTGTAGGGGCCACTACAGCCTCTACCAGCCTAGAGGTCTGATACAGAGACACGAAGAAGAAGCGACGATGTTCTTGCAGTCCATGGCTGACCGCACCTGGTATCTCTTCTGCTGTTCTT